TAAACCATATATTAAATTTTTTTAGTTGAGCATTTGTTTTTTTAAAGAGGTTTTTAATTGTCTTTGAATTATGAAGAATGCATGAGGATAAAATTGCATTTTTAGTATTTGTTTGACTATTTTAACGGTTAATTTTTCTTTGTTTGACTATATTTTTTGTTTTCTGTTTGTTTATTATTTTTTTTAATTAAGTTGTTTTGCTATTTTAACGGTAACTTTATACCCTTACGATATAGTATTTAAGTCTTTATAAAGGGGTTCTATGAAAAGATTGTGATAACGTACCGTAGAACGGGGTGACTTTGATACGCGGGGTGACTTTGATAATTTCGTCTGTTAGTTACAAAAATAATGATTTGAATGTGAAATTGCACAATTAGAGACTATTTTTTTTTTATTTTTGTACATAATTATATTCTGCTAATATTTTTGAAGTTTTAATGATTGTGAAGTGATTCTAAATTGTGCAAATGTGTTAGGAATAACATGACTATAACAAAAAAATAACGATTTTTACACGTACCAAAAAATGTCAAAAAATCTTGTGATTTTAATTTTTTTGAAATTTTTATTTCTAAAAATCTATACTTAGATGTTCAAGTGGTATTTTCCAGTTATAATACCACTGGAATATACCACTCGTTTTTGGTTACTCTCAATCACATTTGCAGAAAAATCAAAACAATTTTGTTTTTCAGTTTTTCAAATGATTTTTAGTATTACATTAGGATTGTAATTTTTTAATGTTTGAAACATTAAAAAATTACAATCCTATTGTAATTTTTTAATGTTTCAAACGATTATTTCTAGTTAAAAAAAACGTTAAAACAAAAAATATCACATAGAGAATTGCAAGGATTATGAGAACTTATAAACGTAAACCAGGTAATCGATCCTATGCATCTTACACAGCAGAAGACTTGCAAAATGCCTTGGTAAATATCTCAACTAACAGAATATCGATTTTCAAGGCATCTAAGATATATGCTATACCATATAGTACTCTGTACAACAAGAGTAAGCTAAGACATATGAAAAACGCTGGAGGACAGGCTAGATTACAGCCCCATACAGAAGAAAAGATTTTATAAATTATTAGCATTCTGACAGATTGGAAGTTACCTTTAGATAAGTTAGATATACGTCTGCTAGTAAAAAACTATTTAGACAGAATGGATTGTAGACAGAATTTTATAACTGCTAATTACTATAACAATGTTATTGATATATTATTTTTCTGTGTTTAGCATATTAACATCAAATTTATTTTTGTTTTTTCTTTGTCCATTCTGTAGATATATTCGATAACCAAACTTGTTGTCTAAATTTATAATTTTACCAGTAAATCTTATAAGTTTATTAATATGTTGTGTTCTAATTTAGTAAAAGTCAAAAAGAAAGTATTAGCGACACTGTAAAGAGGGTTAAATCAATAAGCCATTAAGAAATAATAGACTATCAAAGTCACCCCAAACGACGGGGTGAGATTGATAACATTTTGGATTACAAATATATATATTAAGACAAAAAAAAATTAAAAATATTAAATGGAATTATATAAAGGAAAGGTATAATGTTATAACGGAAAAAAAAAAATCAGAAAAAATTGTAATGAACCAGATTTATTTTGCAAAAATGCTCAAAATCCTAACAAAGTCACCCCGTTCTACGGTAATGTTTTCCGTATTTTCTTTGCTTTAACTTTTTTTTTTTTTTTTTTTTTTTTTTTTTCAGTTTACAATGTTAGTCGTGTTAATTTTAGAATGTTGTCCATAGAGAGAATAAATTTTTTTAACTTAATTTTAAAAACGGGAATAGTAATAGAAGGATCAAAATTTGGTAATACTATTTTATTCCAAAGATGGGGTGCAACATATGCAATACAATATTGATTGAACTTAGTTCTACAAAAAGGTTCATTCAAAAAACTATTATTTCTAATTGTGAATTTATTTATTGGTTTTAAAGAAAAAAGGTCGTTAAAAACAAATAAAGATAAATCGTTTTTCCAAATAAAAGTAAAACATAAGACATTAAATATGTTCAGTATATAAACATCTAGAACCTTCATACAATCAAAAAAATATTTTGAATGTGAAAAGCGATCCGCATAATTAACTACGCGGATTGCATGTTTCTGACGGTGATAAAGATGTTGTAATTTACTTTTATCCGTACTTCCCCAGGCGATGATTGCATAATTTATATAGTTATGTATAAATGAATAATAGAGTTGGGTTAAGTTTTTTTTGTTTAGATAATTTCGGGCTTTGTATAAAATGCCAATATTTTTGGAAATTTTTGTGCTTATATGATCAATATGTTTTCTCCAAGTAATATTCTCATCAAGGTAAACACCTAAGAATTTTATAACAGTATCTCTTTTTATTATCGTTTCATCAATATAAATTTGAGGCATATTACTTGGTAAAAAACGTTTTTTTACGCAGTAGTGAAAGATAATCCGTTTTGTTTTGTTAATATTTAAAGTTAATTTATTAGCTTTAAACCAATTAGAAATGACATTTAGTTCTTTGTTTGTAGTTGAAAAGAGTTCATAAGTATCAGTATGGGATAAGAAAAGATTAGTATCATCAGCGAACATTATACTTTTCAATTTGGAAGCTTTTTTGAAGTCGTTTACATAGATTAAAAATAGCAGTGGTCCGAGAATAGAACCTTGTGGAACACCACAGGTTATGCTCAGGGGTTCACTTTGCTGACCATTATTACTATAAACAAGTTGTTTTCGATTTGTTAAATAGCTTTCAAACCATTTTAAGATTCTATTGTTTAAACCATAATGTTTATTTTTTTGGATTAAAATGTGATGATCAACCGTATCAAAAGCTTTTAATAGGTCAATAAAATATGTGTATACTAAGATTTTTCAAAAGATTCAGAGATGTTATGTATAAATTGAATAATGGCATGTTCAGTTGAACTCCCTTTTCTGAAACCATACTGATTGTTATGAAGTAAGTTGTTGTAATTAAAACAATTGTATACCCTATTGAAGATAATTCTTTCTAAAATTTTAGAAAATATAGAAAGAACAGAGATGGGACGATAATTACTGATATTGGATCTGTCGCCTTCTTTATGGATAGGGGTAACCCTGGCAAGTTTTAAACGTTCAGGAAAAATACCTTGATGGATAGATGCTCTGAAAATTTTAAAAATAATATTTTTTAATTGTTCATAGCAATTTATAACAATATTTCCGTTTATTTCATCTGCACCAGGTGCTTCATTTTTTTTTAAAGATTTGAAGGCTTTTTCAATCTCATCAAATGATAGTTCGGCAGATAATTCTTCAGAGCAAATATTTTTATCAATAGGTATCAAGAAATCATAAAATGAGGTTTGGGTTTTTGGTATTTTACTTGACAGAGTTGATCCAATTTCAGTGAAATATTTATTGAATTTATGAGCTATTATTTGTGGTTCATACAATGAATCACAAATAATAGCTCATAAATTCAAACAATTTTGAATCCTTTGGTAATCCAGGGATTATTAAAGTGTTTTGTTTTTAATGTAATTGTAACAATTTGGAAATTAGATTCGTAAACAGAGGTGAATGTTTCAAAGAACTTTTCATAAAGGTTGTTTGCGTTTTCATTAAAATTTAAGTGTTTCCAATGTAATAATGAGAGCTGTTTTTTGAAAGACTCAATATTTGATGGTTTAAAAAAACGTTTTTTTATAACTTTATTTAATTTTTGTTTTGGCGGTTGGTCAGCGTTTATGCTTAGAAAAATAGGAAAGTCATCAGAAATATCTGTTTTTAGGATACCCAATTTTATATCAATGTTGAACAAGTCTGTAGAAATAATATTATCCGGCAAAGTTGCTGAATTTTTTATTATTCTTGTTGGACGATTTATTAAAGGAATTGCTCCAGATTCAAAAATTGCATCATAAAAGTTTCTAACTTTGTTATCGTCATTGTAGTCAAAACAATTCATATTAAAGTCGCCAACTAAAAATTTTTTTTTTTTTTCGTTGTTACCTTTCGCAATAACTTTTTGCTGTAAAACAGAACTTCATTTTGATTATTATGTAATTTTCAGTATTTATTTATGTATTTTCTTTTATTGTATACTTATTTAACGTGCATTGTAAAAACAATATTTATACCATGTTAAACAGAAAAAAAAAAATTAATAGCCAACACTTTTCATTATAAACCACGAATTTATAAATTATTTATTTTAACCCATCGTCAAGCGCGCATGCGCATTACAGCATTCTTAACTTTCTTTACGCATTGTAACTGTGTGTGGGTGTATACTTTTATATAAACTATATAAACTGGAGACGTAAATATTACTTTTTTTGAAATATATAATGATTGTTGTAAAAAAAAAAAAAAAACCTTACGGTTTATGCAGTGCCAGCCTTAGCCTTTTTGCCGCCCTCGTGCGAAATTTGTCCTGCCGCCCCTGAAAATTTTATAAACGTGCTGGTAAATTACATGGAAAATAATAACAAATCGAATTCAAAAATAATACTTTGCAATAAAACGCTACATACAAAGAAACAATTTTTGTTTATGTTTTACACAAAATACATTTAATTTTTTAAATTAATCTTACGAGCCTTCTTATCACCAAAATCTTTGATTAGGGTTGAAAAATCAAGATTTTCAGCAATATTCTTTTCAATCGATAGAGTTCCTAAACTTGAAAGTCTATCCTGCGACATTGTTGACCGCAGAAAGGTTTTTATTAGTTTCATTTTGGAAAAGCTTCTTTCTCCACTCGCTACAGTGACAAGTATTGTTAGCAAAATTCGCATTGCAATCCATGTGTTTGGATACAAATCTTGCATTTTGTGCTGTTTTATAAAGTTTAAAACAATAATACGAGTAATTTTATCCTTGACCATTTCAGAAAGAAAAGGTTTAATGCTCATCAGTTCATCGCAAAGGAGAATACCATTAATGTCCGATTTTAGATTTACGGTAAGTTTACTTTGAAGAGCTAAACATGATTTTAGAATTTCTTCTCTTTTTTGCAAACTATCGACATTATACAAAAAACCCAAACTTCGGAATAATTCTCCAACTGTATAAATCTTTCTCTCATTGAAATTAAAGATGTGTCTAAAAGAGGATTGAAGAAATCGATTTCTAATTTTTTTTCAGGAGAAAATAAATAAATCCCATCTTGGGCTGGTTCGTCAAAATGGCGTTTCACTCGTATTATTCTTTTAAGTGGTTTAAAAACAGGCTCCACTTGTAATTCTATAGCCAAATCATTTGCTTTTATAATTGCATCTTTAAAACCACATTTTCTATAGTTTTCTAAAAATGAACAACAGCTTTTCAATAACTTTGCACATTGAGTGATGTCCATGTCTTTTTCTTGAAGAGTTTTACTAACAATATTGACTTGAAAAAGAACGTCATACCAGACAATTAAAGAGAAAAAAAAGCTAAAATCTTTTAATTGCTCTCCTAGAGTTATCGCTTCATGTGCAGTTTCAGGATTACATCCTTCAATTTCTGACAATGCTATCAAAGCGTCATGTACATCACCAACTTGATAACAAACGACTTTAACACTACTTATTTTTGCTTCCCACCGCGTGTCACAGAGTTTCTTTAAATGCAAAATTTTAACATGATCAATTAAAATTTTCCATCGGCTCACTGAAGCTGAGAATAGAGTAAACAATCTCTGAAGAATACCGAAAAAAGCTATAGATTTTACTGAAGACCGTGCAGAGTCACTTATTACCAAATTTAAGCTATGGTTGCCGCAAGGAACATATAATGCTAAAGGATTAAGATTTAAAGTCCTTTTTTGTACACCATTAATCTTTCCTTTCATATTTGATCCATTATCATATCCTTGACCTCTGCAGTTAGAGATTTCAAGTCCATGCTTAGTTAGCTACTCGATTAAAACCTCAGTAAGTCCTAAGCCTGCAGAATCAGTAACAGAAAAGAATCCTAAAAAGTACTCTTTAATTTCCACTCTAATGTCTAATGACAAGTCAACAATTCGAATAGTAAGAGAAAGTTGTTCTTTTCTAGAAATATCAGGTGTACAATCAGCAATGATTGAATAGTAAACGGATTTCAAGACTCGGTTTATTATTTCATCATTACCCTTTTGAGACATTAAATCTATTAACTCATTTTGAATATTTTTCCTGCAATAATGGTCTGAAGTGTCACCTTTTATTGCAAGTGCTAAATGCTTTTAAATCACAGGATCAAATTTTGCAAGCATCTGTATTAGTCCTAAGAATTTGCCGTTTTGAGGCGTAAACAGTTTATCCCAACTCTCTCGAAAAGCCATATTATTCTCAGCTAGGTAAAGAGTGATATTCATCAGCCGAAGAAGAACATTTTGCCATCGCAAACTGTCTTTTTCTATAATTTTAATTTCTTCACGCACGACCTCGCCCCCCCCCCCCCCCCCTAAAAGCCGGCGCTGGGTTTATGTATATTTATATGCATGAACTACTCCGTTCATGTACATAACTCCGTTCATGTATATAAATATCCGTGAATAAATAAGCCGGTTGCCAAGTCGGTTTTGGAATTACGATTCAAAATGCGAACTAACCTATTTAAACTGAAAATTTAATAAATCTTTTTAGAGAAAGTCAGTGACCTATCTGATTCTAAACAATTAAAAAACGAAATTTTTTTCCAGTATGTTGAAATTGTCCATAACTTTATACATCTCCTTTTTATCTCCTTTCTACTAGCATAGTTAAATTTAAAGTTTGAATGATTCATTTAAGCTTCAAATTTAACTATGGCATAGCTAAATTTCTACTAGCATAGTCTATGCTAGTAGAAAGAAGACAATAAAAAGATCTGATACAAATGTATAAAATTATACATAATATCGATAAACTAGAAAAAAAGTTCGTTTTCTGAAAGTTAACAATCAGATAAGAGGTCACTGTTTTAGTAAGACATCTGATGTTAAATATTTAGGATTCTTAGATGTAATATTTGGTATTATTAGTCAATATATTTATAAGTTTTGATTGCCAATATTTTGTATGAGGTTTCCAATCTAGTGAACAGTATTCTTGTACTTTGAGGTATTTTTAATGAACTTTTAGATTTTTGATTTTGTTAAATTTTGTTATTTTAAGATATTCTGAATGTTAGAATTTTGTTATTTTAAGATATTCTAAAAGTTTTTATAGTAAAATATATACAATGTTTTATAATAAAACCAATCTAGTCTTTACAAAATGCACCCATTTCTTTTTCTCGTTACTTAAAATTAGCCTGTAAACTTTTTGGATGATTAGCTTAGTCAATTTTATATTGAGTAAAAATTAAATTTATTACCCATGGAATAGTAAATTTCTTTTTTTAGTTGTATATTGTTTATTAAAATGTGATATATATATATTTTGTTGATATTTTATTTGTATATAAAAATATAAAAAAAAATTGTAAAAGTATTTGATTTTCCAAGGAAACCTAGCCCATAATTTTAATGATTTATGTTTTTCTAAGCCATTAAACAAAACATTTTTTTTCTTTTAATAAAGTATTCAGAACATACATTTTGTTTTGATAAAAAGTATGACATTTCTGGGTAAAATAGAGCACTTATTCACAATATTTTTTTTTTATGTATTAATTTTGGTTATATATAACTCTTTTTCAGTAATTCATGAATAAAAATATAACTTGTTTAGCTCTTCACACTAATTATATTAGTTATCACAAAACCTTTACTATAGTATTTGTTTACCACAAATAAACAAAAATAATTAAAGTTTATGTTAGTTTGTATATTTCTTATATATTTTCATTTCATGTTTTATTTTTATTTTTTTCTAATTATATTAGTTTACTATGAGCATTGTACTGCTACGTGAAGAAGATGACGATGATTACTACCACAAATTGCTTTATGCAAATGGATTTTTTGTGTGTTCCATTCCTGTTCTTTGCTTTTCTTACTATAACATTGAAAAACTTGAAGAATTTTTTCACAACTCAAGTGAATATTCAGCACTTGTCATCACAAGCAAACATGCTACTTATGCTCTTGAAGTTGTGCTCAAAAAAAATAACTTAAGTTTTTCTCTACCTCAAAATTTTTATATATATGTTGTTGGAAAATCAACTGAGCTGTATCTTCAAAAACTTGGTTTAAGCTCACTTGGCTCTGATTCTGGTAATGCAGATCAGCTGGCTGATTATATTATTAAAAGAAAAATTTTTCACTTGAAACCATTGATGTTTGTATGTGGAAATTTAGCACGGGAAACAATTCCTGACAAGTTAAGAAACTTTGGATTGACTGTGGAAACAATATCTTGTTACAAAACAATTGCTAATGATAACTTTCCTGAAAAGATTTCACAATTTATTAAGCAGTACGATATTCCAAATGTCATAGTTTTTTTTAGTCCATCAGGTGTTAAATTTTATTTTTCAGAAATTTGTAAACTTTGTGCTGATTTTGAAAGAACAAAAATTTTGTCAATTGGGCAACATACAGCAGATTGTATTGTCAGTATGAACAAAAATGTTGATGCAATTGCTAAAAGACCTACACCTGACTCTTTATTGGAAGCAATACAATCTGTATTTGATATATCGGGTGTAATTAAATTCTAAAGTGTGAGTGATAGGTTAATCAAGATTTATCTTTATTTTTTTGTAGATCAAATAATTAATATTTATAATATTTATTACTTTTTTTGTAAACTTTTTATAAATAGTAGGTTTTATCTTTGTATAATGTTCTTATTATATGGTTTATGTTATCTTTTTTTTTTTTTTGAAAATTGATTACATATGAAATGATTTTTATATGAAAAGTATGAAAATAAAATTACTCTATTGTAAAATCATAAAAAAATTTTTTTATTAATGTCTTTTAGGTGCCAAGTCTTATTGGGAGTAAGTGAGGGTGAGGGGAAAGAATTTTTGTTATTATTTTAATTTTTAAGTAGCCAGTTCTGTTTTGCTTTGTTGAAAGGTATTAATTAAGTTTTTTATGTATTTTTGCAAATATCTTTAGCTATTGATATGAATGGGGGAAGGGTCTTATGATGATTTGAGTGGTTGGGAAAACATCAATAAAGGGTGGTGGTTTTATCTTTGGCATTTAAAGTTCATTCTAAATCTTAAAAATGATTTTTAATAATTATTGTGTGATTTTATATTAGAAGCAAATATAAGTTTTAACAATGTTTTTTGCTTTAAAGATGAATTATTAAAATGTTTTATTTGATGGCAATTATAAATTTTTATTTTTGTTATTTTTAGTTTTATTTAAATTATTTCAAATGTTCAATTTATGATTTTTTTTTTTAAATTAGGTTTATTAAAATGACTGTAATAAATACAATTGCATCTTCTGGTTTCACAAATGAGTTGAGTCTATTATGCAGCAGCACTAAGCTTGAGCGTGATCGAGGCAGCTTAACTTTGAAATGTTCACTTTCTAAAATAGCTGAAAATGAAAATGGAGCAGAGTTATGTTCTGAACTACAAAAGCTAGTTCTTGAATTTTTTGCCAATTACTCCGATGGGAATTGGGAGTCTTTACATGGTCATCTTGAAGTTGGAAAGCTGTTGATTGATATGAAGTTATTTTCTCCTGATTTTCCTCGTGAGCTTCTTAATTACAGTTTAATTTACATAGAACATACAGAGTTTCGCGTTCGTATTTTAGCTGGCGAAGTATTAGGAAAATTATGTGAAAATGTGGACACTTCTTTTTATAAAGACTGTGAACCGATTTTGATGGAAAGTGTTAAAAAACATTTGAGAAGAGATGTTGTTGTTTCGTCTGAAAGTTTGACTCATAAAACTGCTCAAGATATCTTTCATGACACAGCCGGTTGGAAATCACTTGAAACAAGCATGAAGGCTCTTCAATGTGTTGTTGATGGCTGTGGTTTACACTTTTTTTCTTACATGAACAAAGACTTATTAAACCTTATATTTGAAAGTTTAAAACATACTAATCGTTTTGTGAGAGAAACTGCATATTACCTATGTGCATCGATTGCCAGATTCGGCATTTTATCACAAGAAAACTGTGATAAAGAATTAGCTAGTCAATTATGTGAAAGCTTGCGTAAAGGGTTGTCTGATAATTGGAGTCAAGTTAGACTAGCTGCTTCTGTTGCTACTCGACAGTTTTTCCAAGATCTCAATGAGACAGATAAAAAAGTTTATTATAAAACTTTGCTTCCTGCCATGTGTATAAATAGGTATTATTTAGCTGAGGGAGTGAGGTTGTATAACCAAGAGTCATGGCGTCTCATTTTAGGAAATGATGGGCGTGCTAATGTTGAACTATTGATTGAAGATGTCGTTACATTTTACATCTCTCAAACAGAGAGTGATAATCATGCAGTAAGAGAAGCCGCTTGTCATTGCATGGCAGAGCTTGGTACAAAAATTAGTCCTGAAGTAGTTCGACCTTATCTACCTCGTTTACTAGAAGCTTTGCATTTTTGCTTTAAAGATGATAGTTGGCCAGTTCGAGACACTGCTTGTGTTGCATGTGGAAACTTTGCACTTTCATTTCCTCAAGAATGTGCCCAGCTTATTGATACAATTTATCCTCTGTTTTTTACAAACCTAGGAGATCCTATTCCAACAGTACGACAAGGAGCTGCTGTAGCTTTAAAAAATGTTGTTAAAGCATTTGGAGAAAAAAGTGCCGATCTTGTATTTAAGAAACTTAATGAAGGTTTAGGAGCGGTCGAGTTTCAAAAAGCATCTTCTGAACGATATGATGGCTTGGAAAAAGGTGCAGCAACATACGGAGTTGTAAAAAAGTTACATGATAATGATTTAGATTTACATTCCAATCAGGTTATGTACTCTTGCGGCTCGCTGGCACCCAAAATGAAAAGAGGTGGTGGTTGTTCTGACCATTCATTTAAACGACCTTCTGAACCTTGGGAACTTGCAGATGGATGTGTGTACTTGCTTAGTGAGTTATCTAGTGTCAGTGATGTGCATAAACATGTTGTTGAATCAATTCGTCACCTTATTGAAGCAATAAAGTTCAAACATTACATCCATCATCTAAATTTTTTTGAAAGTGTTAGTAAAGTTTTACCAAATATTGCTAAAGGATTGGGAAAACGAATTTTCAAACAACACATCGAAGGCTTTTTTGACATGTTGTTTTATTCGCTTTCTTCTGAAAATGCTCTCAGCAAATTGGCTGCAAATGAATGCGTTGAATTTTTTATTGAGTTTTTTGGATTAAATATTGTGAAGGGGCGAGTTGAGAACTTTAACCCAAGTTATATGGCTATATTTGATCAAATAGCTTGTAATAAGTTTATGTGAATGTTTAAGATATATTTACATTATATTGTTATTTAAAAATAATAGTCTTATGTGTTTGCATTACCATATCTACTATAACATATATTCAATACCATTTTTTTTTTAGCTTAGATAGGGTTTGAGAGATTCTTTTGATTCGCATTTTCCTTGTAATTTTGATAAAAAAAATATTTAAAATATTTGAAAAAAACAAAGTGAATATGAATTCATTTTGAATTCAAGTTTTTTTGAATTCATTTTGAATTCAAGTTTTTTTGAATTCATTTTGAATTCAAAAAAATTTATTTGTAAGAATAACAAATACGCAAAACAAGTTTTATAATAAATATATATGCAAATTTTCTCCATTTACTTATACTTTCCACTGTAAGTTGGTTCCTGTAGAAGTTTCTGTAGGTTCAAATCGCTCAAAAATAGATTACAAAAGTTAATTTAAAGGTGGTGCACCTCATTTGAAAAACTTAAATCAATATGCAAATGTTTCTAATGACGACAACTGATAGTGGCATATCAGTAGACAAAACACGGACACTCTAAAAAGTATAGACACTCTATTATATTAGACACTCTAAAAACTCTAAATACTATTATAGACACTCTAAGAAGCTATATTGGACATTATCAAAAATGAACTGGTTTTTTGTTTATGTCAAAAATCTGTCAGTAACATTGACCGATTATTGATGGTGTTTATCAATGAAAAAACTTATTGAAATTACTTCAGGGCGACTTTTTTTTCAAGACCAGGTCAAGTTCAGGATTACCCTGCTATTAGTATCATGTAACCCTATACTATCTGCCCCGTGCCCTGCCTTGTAAGGTTCGCTTTTTTAGGTTAAGATTAGGTGAAACAAACTCCAAATTGAAAATGCTGCGGTTGAGTAAAGGTGTCTCAATCACGGTCTTTTCGCAATTGAAATTTATAGTGGGCATGCAAATTACGCGTGAACTCAAATATGCAAAAAAAGCTTTTATTTCACTAGCCTTAAAAACGTCTAGTGACCTTTTAAATTTTTGATATAAACGATATAAATGTATATTTACTTACCAATTATTACGCTTTAATGTCTCTTACATTTTGGGGCTATCCATAAAAGTACGTACGCAGGTGTGACTAAACTTGATTTTACTTTTTATTTTTATTAAAACATTGATTTTCACGTAACAAATCAGTATTGTATTTTTTTTTTTCTGATTTAATTAACAATTTTTTTTTTATAAATAATAAGGAGAGAAAAAAGAAATCGAGCGACAAATAATATTGTTTATTCACAACGTAATTAGATTGATTAACTGTGAAGCAAAAAAGCGTTAAATAAAAGCAAACTTTTTTTTGAATTCTTTTTTTTTTTAATTACTGCCCAAACTGTTTTTTATCATTTTTGTTTATATGTTAAAATATGTATATTTTGATAACATTTTAAGATTTAAATAATTACATTAAATAACTTATACTCAAATAAATTAAATGTTTTTTTTTTTGTTTTCAATGTTTTGAAATATATACGCGTTAGGAAAGGGAACGAGGGGAGTCTTATTTTCAAAAAAAAAAATGCGTACGTACGCGGTGGAGGAGGGGGGGGAGTTCTTCGATAGCGTACAGGTTCGTACATGGAGAAAGTTTTTTTTCTGTGTACGCATTTTATGGATGCCCCCTTTCGTAAGTAGGAAAAATTAACACAACTATAAATATGTGACGCATAAAGCTATAACCCACCTGCTAATTCGTCTAACATTTTATTGCAGATTTTACTACCACTTTTATTCTTTAATAAAACTTAATAAAATCTATTTTTTAATTTAAATGTTATATATCACTGGAAAAATTAAAAGTTGAACTTTAATAATTAGCATAGTATATTTACCAGCCATTTTTTAACCAATGATATTATGTTATAAAGTTTGGTAATTTTTCGCTATTTTTTAATAATTCAGAAAACACATGGCCGACTTTTTTATTTTAATAACAATATAAGTAAACTTATGGCCGACTTTTTTATTTTAATAACAATAATTTTAATTTGTAATTTTTTCTTTTTTTTGAGGGATGATCAACATTTTTAAAGATTTTGATATCAAGTTGTTTCTTATGTAATGATCTTTCATTACACTTTCTATTTTCGAGTGTCCGACATGTTAGAGTATATTCTTCCAATGTTATTTAAGTCTGCATGTATACTTTTGCCACCTTGTTCTCGATATAACCCAACTCCCCATTTTTTCAAAAAAACTCCCACATGATCCTCTAACATATGCATTTTTGGAGTTATCGAATCATTTGGCCAATTAGTTCGTAAAAAAAGTCTGTGTATTCATGAACCGTTGCTTCTAAAGTAAAACAAAATTAACTAATAAATGTATTTGCAAAAAAATTTCTCCGTTCCATATCAGCAAGAGGCATGTCAACAGTTAAGATGAGATCAAAGGTTTGCTAATAGTCTATAAAGGGGTCTTATTTTATATAGTTTATAACCTTACCAAAACTCTGTACTTTTGTATTGTTGAATATTTGGCACGAGTTGATTTCTTTGTGACACTTTAAATACTTCTGAAACCAAACTTTTTTTTTTACATATACCAATCGCCTCCATCTGAATTAAATGTTTAATGTTATTGAAAACTGTTTGAAGAACAGAGTTGCATAACTTCATTATGTTTTCAAACTAAAAACTAAAAAATATTTTTCCAAAAAATAAATTTTAATAATATACATTATATTAGACCAGATTGAGAATGATAACAAAAAGTTGTTAAAATTCTATAAGACTGCATAGTATACAGAAAAACAGATCACTTTTATTGCCTGAAAGAATAAATATATTTAAACAACAATGTTATCAATAACATTGTATGAATATGATTGTCTCGACGTTGCACACTACATGACTGCAAAACAGATTCAATTCCCTTAACTATAGGGCCAGTTCTTTTATTAAACTCAACTTTAGAACAATCTGCAATTCGTCCCTCCTAATAAAATATTTACAATTATTGATGTACAACAATCCAGAAAATTTCTTTAAAATATATCATTGTTTTTAGTACTTTTTAATGTAAATATTTTCTGTTCTCCTTGATTCTAACTGTGCAATTCTCTCTTTGTACATTACCTTTAAGTTTTCTGAATTTTTAGGGTTATGAAATACTTCAATAACATAAGCATCTTGAATAAGAAGATTTTTGTTATTTATACCTTCAATGGCATATTTTGACAGGAATATCTCTACCTGTTTCTCAAAATAATCATCGTATTCACTTGAATCAAGACGTTTATCATTCTTTGCAAGAACTCCTGCTAGTTTGATTTCGAGAAGATTAGATTCCTTCTCCAACAAGTTAAAAAATTTAAGAAATAATATTAACGTGATGTGAAGAACTGGTATCGCTATCTATAAAGAGATTTATTATAATCAGGGCCGGATTTATCAATAGGCTGACTAGGCCGCGTCCTAGGACCACGCAATTATAGAGGCCCCAATATGTCGAAAAATTTCAGAAATTTTTGCTATAACTAAAATAAGTGAAAAATTTAAATTATTTTTTGTACAAGCCTCAAATTGATTTTAGGGTAAAATTAATACATTAAATAAAATGTAAAATGTCATAAAAATAGAAAATTTTAGTTAAAAAAAGGGCTCCAAAACATAACCCATCAAAGGGCCCCTAGAAGTGTAAATCCGGCCCTGATTATAATTGATATATAGTACATAGTAAAAATCATAGTAAATATATTAATGGCAATAATGCTTAAACGACAATTACTACCTGTTCAATTGGCATATCAAATAATAGCTCATCAATTACATTATTGAACTTCTTTGCATTTTTATCGTTACTTCCATCATTTATAAAGCGCTCAAAAATTTATTTCAAAGTTTCAAATGTTCTCAAAAGGATTGGCTGATTTCGATCTTTCATTCTCAATTGCAATTTTGTTTTTTGTGATTTTACAAAATAAGCAGCAATGTTGACCTGTTAAATTAAATTATTTTTAGATTTCTTATAAACAATGCATTTTTAATAGTTAACTCAAAAAGTGCTGAAATTATGGTCTAGCCAGTTGCTCCTAAGATGCCGTAGACAGCACAAAGAAATTCAAAATTGCCAAATATAAATACATGTAAATTATTTTCTCTAAAACAACATTAAAAATAAATCATAACTAAAATAGATATAAAACAAACTCTACAAACATTTATTATTGTTATTATTATTATATATTATTATTTACACCCTACAAACATTTATTATTGCTACTATCCCAAACTAAATTTTAGAAACATTTTTTTTTCACCTCCATTTCATTGACTGAATCTGTCTTATTTCATCTGTGTGCCTTGAGAGCTCGATTTGAAGGTTTATCCGATAGACTTGGGCTTCATATATATTAAAAACTGTTGTGTTGTTTTTTGAATTAAGATTTACAATATTAGCTACTAGATAACACATTTTGAATGAATTCCCTCCATGGTTATCTCCTCTCTTATATGTATTTCACAAGGAGTTATCTTGTCATGCATAAGTTGATTATGCCTATAATAATATTATTTTTAAAACAATTTTTATTTATAACCAAATGAGTTTCTACAAACTATATTAATTTCATTTCATAACACAACAAATTAAACTTCTAATCAACATAGAAGTTGTAATGAGCACTGTAATTGACAGTCAAAAAATGATTGAATGTGAGCATTCAGTCATTATTTAGCATCAACTTAGCATGAATTGGAATTTGAAATTATGCACATAATTTATATTAGCCATTTTTTTGGTATATCCGAGAATCTGGCGATTGATATAATAATTTTTTATTTTTTGTAAAAACAAATTATTTTTAACTAAAATCTTATATAAATACAAATCTGGATTTTAATAATAAAGAATTATCTTTGTAATTTTAGTTTTATTTTGAACATACCTTTCTAATTCATCGAGCACCTTAACTAAATGTGATGGTAAATCATTTATATATGCTGTTGGTGTTTGTTTTAAATCAAAAGTACCTTTTTTGTTTATTATTTCCACTAGAAATATTTTAATCTTCATTAATCAAATCGTCACCTAACCAATAATTTGAAAATTTTTATTGATTTGAAATTGAAGGTAGTTTAACATTTTTTGACATGAAAAATCTAAAACTAGAGATAATTTTTTAGATTATTCGAATTGTACATGTAAACAAAAAAAAAAAACATAAAAAAAAACTACTTTTGTAATGCAAACATTAAAAAATGAAAAACTTTCAAAAATGGACAGCTCCACTGAAATATTTATAACTTAACATTATAATTTAACTAAATTAGTGTTGTATGCAAAAAGCAGTGTTAAGATAAAAAGCATATTATTAACCTCATCATTTTTTTTTTCTTTTTTTTCCAAGGTAAACCAGTCTGTCTTCAGTGATGCAATGTCCTCTGACCCTCAACTTGAGAAATATTAGCTTTTTTAGTATAACAACTTTATCATTTTTATCAAAGGAATTGAGCATAAGCGCTACTTGTTGCATTTTTACCTTTTTTGTTGGTCCTGAATTTTCTATTAGTGATTGATTTAGTTGCTTTTCACGTCTTTAAATGGTTTTTAACTAATATCAGTTGACGTTTTTTAGTTTTTTGGAGTTGCTTAAAAAAAGCCTGTTATAAACAAATATATGCAAATATTTGATTTATTATTTTTAAGAATATTATTTGCAAAAATTATTTATTTCTTACCCTTGGGCCACAGGAAGTTAAAATGAATATGAATTGTTTTTTGACATTTTTAGTTTTGCAAAGTGAACAAATGCATAGTCTAGTTCTTTATAATAATATTATATTTATTCTTTTAAACACCCAATAATTACATAAACTATAGGTAAAAGTATTAAAAAAAAAACAAAGCACATTTAAGTATTTTCTTGCATCGTTCTTGGAATGTTTTCCTCCATCAGCGTTCTAAATATTTCTCTTTGTTCCTTTAAATTCCAGTGTTGGAACGATTGTTTTAAGATCGCCGCAACATTGGCCTCCAATGCTTCCTGAGGGCGTGCAATTATAATTTTCTTACCCTCGATCATAAATTGGAGCATGTTTATATCAGCTTTCTTACACATTATCATTACCTCACCCACAAATGATCGTTGATTCATTAAAGGCATCTGAGTCCGTATAATCGAGTAACATATGGGGTTGTTTAAAAGCCTGATAAATAGATTTAACTTGTTGCGAAAAAGAATGTCTGACACAGCGTCTACTTTGAAATAAGAATGTAGATAATTTCTACTTTGCTTTGAAATATTAAAGAAGGATTTTAAGACAGATCGTCCAGCTATATCAATGCTATTTAGAAACTTATTGCTGCTTCCACACAGTTCTAATCCGTATAACAACGTTGGAACAGCTAAAGAATTAAATAAATGAACTATGGTAGCAGGCTGGCAAAAGCGAAGTCCATTTCTTATAAGACCTTTTGCAACAGATAAAAATTGCGTTACACGTTCAGTTATATTTTGTTTTTGGAGTGTTGCTGTCATTTTTTTGTTCTTATTATCCCAAAGGAAACCAAGATGTTTTAGATTGTTTTGAGGCTTGATAGGATCACCGTTAATATAAATAACGTTAATTAAAATCGAACTTATTCCAGATATTAGAAATTCAGTTTTTTCTGTATTCAGTTTAATAAAGTTCGATAGTCCATACTTTTGAACAATGTTAATAAGGCTCTGAAGACCAGATATAGTGGAACTTTGTAAAACTATATCATCAGCATATGCAATGATACCTGTGTATACACCATTTATTGAAGTTCCAACTTTTGATTCTGAAACAATTTTCTCTAGAAGGTTCTCTGTGTAGATATTGTAGAGATGAGGCGACAGTATGGATCCTTGACGCACTCCCTGAGACAGCCTAAATTTGTTTGATGTACATCCAAGATATGATATATTAGAAGTTCCTGTTTGATATAGTGATAATATTGTATGAACTATAGATAATGGGATTTTTTTCTGGTAATAGAGTTTCTCGAATAGTAATTCCCAATTACAACTGTCAAAAGCTTTGTTGGCGTCTAGACTGCATATATATAGCGGTGAGTTATTATGATTATAGTGCTTTATTGTTTCACTCAGAAGAAATTCTGCGTGGAGGGTAGAGCTGTTTTCTTTAAAACCGAATTGATGGGAATGACTTTCTGTTATATCTGGACATATGTGTATGATAAGATATTCGAGAAGTTTTGTAAAAATTGGTATAATGCTGATTCCTCGATAGTTATTTGGATTTTCTAGTGATGTTTTATAAGACTTGACTAATGGGATAATTTTGGCGGTTGATAAACCGTGTGGAACCTTTCCATTTGTTAACATATTGTTATAAAACGACGAAAGTAAAATAAGAAGATTCTTGTTGTGAGAGTTTTTAAGATGTTCAGCACTGATTTCATAGCAATCGTAAGATTTATTATTTTTAAGCTTTAAAATACATTTTTCAATATCAGCTGTCGAGATAACTTTTGAATTAGGCTCTTTACTTAAATGTGGAATTTGGAGAGGATTGAACTCGTTATTTGTATATTGCGGTGTATTAAGTAGTTTTTGGAAATGATGACTAAATTCTTCGACGATTTCGTTTTTGTTCTGCAATTTATTAATTGTAAAGAGTCGATTGTTAGTATTTTTTTTGATTTTTCGAATATTACCCCAAAACCTTTGAGGATTTGTATTGCGTAAGTGTTCTATATTTTTAGTTTTTTCGTGAATTTTTTTGTTATGTGCCGCTTTTACAGCTTTACGAAAGTTTTTTCGGGAATAAATAAATCTTTTGTAGGATATACATTCTGTTGACTTATTATAGCCTGATTTTTGCCATTGTCTAAAGTGAAAGGAGAGATTATCTTTAATTTTTTTAAGCTCAGGTGTCCACCAAGGTTTCGAGTACTTATAAAATTCTTTTTGTCCGAAACATTGTTTAACTGCCAAGAGAGCTGCATTTTTTATATATAAGCATGTTTTTTGAATTTCTTCTTCTATTTTATCTTCCTTAAATGCGTAACTAGTAAATGCTTTTGATAGATTGAGATTATAAAAGTCAATAAACCTTTCGTTATTCCATGCATGTTTTGGTATTGAATTATATTTTTGCATTATATTATTTATTTCGTGTGATAAGCCGGTACCTTCAAAGTTAATATTCGTAGACACCGGAAGGTGATCACTAAGGTTAAGCGGTGAAGATTGCATAACTTGACAGTTTGTAAAACATAGTTCTGTCTGTTTATAGGATGCAATATGGTCAATGTAAGAAGAATTAGAAAGAGTTTTATGTTGATAGGTATAAGTAGGCCCAGCACCGTTGATTATATCGACAAAAGCGAGCTGATTTGATTCAATAAAATTAGTGAGATGTTTTGAGAAATTGTTCCTAGTTTTGTTTTTACGAAGCTCTGAATCATATATTTTATATGGAAATGACTGAAAGTCTCCGGAAATAATACATTCTCCTTCATCCTCATAGTTGTTCATTATTGAAGTGATTGTTTGTAACTGAGAAGAGTATTTTGCGTATGATTCGTTATTATTACGACAAGATGAAAGGTAAACACCAATAAAAATTAAGTTACGATTGTTAAGTGTGCCTTTAATAGCAAGAATGTTTTCATCTTCATGTATTATGTAAAAAGACGACAATTTTTTTCGTACCATAAAAGCATTTCCTCCATATGGTCTACCGTGTGTATTTTTTTCTGCCGCATGAAAAAAAACTTTGTGTGTTAGTAATGCAATGTTATTTAACAAAAAACTCTCAATATTTAAAAGCCAATGTTCTGATATAAAAATAATATCGAAAGACTTTAACAACTTAGAAATATAATATGAATTCGATTTAAAGCTTTGACAGTTATATGCACATAGCGTAATATTTGTGTTAGTTACATTTAATTCTTTTTCTCCCATTATGATTTCAATTTTTATTGTTGCATAAATGCTGAAGAGTGGTGTAAGAATTGTGGCAAATGATTTTCGGTATTTTGATGTGGTTTTTCGATTGTTAGTGCTTCTCGCCGCATTCTAAACGGTTTAACAATAATGTTGTTATCCCAAACATCGGGTTTAAGTACCATTCCTTTTTCAGTACTATTAATTTTTACTTTGAAAGAGCGGTTGTACATGTTTTCTCTATTAAGCTTTATGTCTAAAGGAATTGTCTTTAGGAATAAGTATCTTAGGAATAAGTCACCATATTAGGTAGTTAGAAAGAAAATGTCTTTAGGAATATCACAAGTTTACTTAATGTTGTAAATGTCTGCAAACTGTCAATATCACAAGTTTACTTAATGTTGTAAATTTTTGCAAACTGTCAATATCACAAGTTTACTTAATGTTGTAAATGTCTGCAACTGTCAACGAGGAATGAAATGATGCTGAACAATTGTACGTCATGTTTCCACTTTTTCATACTTGTTCATGTTCCTCCTTATTGCTTAATGTTTTTGCGTCAAATTTTTCATTGCATGTAATATTAGAACACTTTAGAACTATATTCTCAAGGGTATTTTTGCATCGATATTGCTTTTGAAATACTAAAGTTATGTTTATGCAACATTAGATGATGGGGATTTATATTGGAACATATTGGGCATTTTGCTTCTGCTTCTTATTTTCCAATTAAATTTGGAAAAATACATGAAAAACAAAATAGATGTTGACAGTTATCAAATAAGATAATTGTGTAATAATCTTTTGCAAAACAAGCAGATACATAAGTCTTTCTGTGGGTTATCAGCTATATTAATAGACTCATAGCACATGCAAGTCATATCCGAAAAACAATCTATTTTTAAATCAACTGACTCCCTGGTCTAAATATTTTTATTGCCTGATGGTCTTCCACATTGTTTCTTCTTTTTTCTACCGGACTTTTTTACAAAACAGATGCACCATTAGAGTGAACATGTTTGCGTCCAGTGTTTTATACTAAAATTAGATGAGGTTGTTGCCGTTGTTCGATATGCCTCATTACTGTATAGCATTTCATGCAAATTTTTGGTAGGTTAATTTCTTTTCTGTTGTCTCCTGCCTCAGTAAAAAATGCCTAGTCAAATCTAACTATAATAGGTATTACATTAGATGTGTCCGTGCCAAAATAGGTTCAACACAATCTGCATAGCTTGATAATACAAGATATGTAGTTAGATGCAGTAGCAGTCACCATATTAGGTAGTTAGGTGCACTTTTTAATTCAAAATTTCTTTAACATTAACTTAACTTTAAAAAGTGTTTAAATTTTAGTTTTAGAAACTATTTAGTTCTTGAAATAAAAAATTGAATTAAAAAAAGTTACAGAAGTTTAAAAAACAAGAAATTTCGAAAAAGTATATATTTTTAGAGCCATTTAAAAGTTTGTAATAACCAATGAAAGTAGACTTTCTTTTATTCTGCTATCATCTATGGTCCTATAAATGTCTTCAAAGCCTTTGAATGAGATAAAAAACAACATTAGAAACGAAAGAATTTAATAGTTTTAAAATGTATGCCTATTCATACGGTTTCAAAAATACGATATTTCGACGTATAAAAAAATTATCTATTTAAACGCATGCGTATTATAAATGTCTGCTAGTGATCGATATTAAACGACCGTGCAATAAAACTACTTATTATTGCCAGATGTTAACTGTATCCTGCTATTTTCTTGTAGAAGGCCACCTAGGCAAAAAATTAAGGGGTAAGCAGAATAATTATGCTAACTAGCCTCGAACTCCTTCATTTAGTAGGCTGGCGTAGATGTAAACTTGTGCTACATCGTTTCCTGCCAAGAATGATAAATGAAGGATCTTATTGACTCTACTCCTTTTAATTTGCTAGTGGCTCTTCCTTTTATCTACTAATAAGGGTAAAATAATTAAAACTCAGTTTAATTGTTTAGAGGCCATAGAAAGGTTTCCCTAACTCTGTGGTAGCTCTCAGAGAGGCTTTTTTCATTTCCATCAACTACGGTAGAATATCAGTATTAACAGTACCATGTTGTGCATGGATGGAATCCATACGCAAAAATTTTGGATAATATTGGACATCCTTAAAATGAGCTTTGCAAGTTTTTTTGCTTGCGAAAAGTTCGATAACTGCATTAAAGTCTAATTTCCATGCAAGAGGCGTCTTAAATCCCAAACCTCGTTTGGCTAGAAACAGTGTGACATCTAAAATTCGGTGAAGAACCTGTTTCCAGTGCAATGCTTCATTCTTAATTATCTGCAGCAGCATAATATTGACAGTGGATAATCATAGTCAATACTTTTTTCTAATTGCCGTCATTTAATATAACAATATTTATGGTTGCTGCTGTTTTAATGCTCTGGAATTTTTGAAATTCTATTTTGATGCCCATGTAATTTTTCCAGTTTCCTTTGAAAACAAAAACTCAGATATATTGGTTAAGCATGAGCGACATGTTGCTGGTAGTTCACTCAAAAGGCGACAAGGAAAACAAAACAATAATTGATTCATTTTGCTCCAAAAAAGCCAATCTCGGGGAAGAGCTTCTCCATTTTTTATACTTGTATGTAGTACTCAAACAGGAAATGAATGTTCGTTCACATCTTTTGAAAACTAAGATATGGTCTTTTTCGGACCCCTAAGAACTGCTTCTTCAATTTCAGAATCGTTTGGTCTTTTATTTTTTAGGCTACCAAAATCAAATTCAAGCAGTTTTATTTTAACAATATCATCAGCTATATCTAATTTATAATTCTCAGAGGTATTGTTGATAGGAATAAAAACATCGCCGTGCTCCACGTCAGCTTTATTTTTTATATTATCAGGATCTTGAAAGTCGCCAGTCATATTAATTAAATCTACAACTTGTTTAACAACGTTGTCGTTATTGTTGAAATTAGTTTCTACATTATGTTATTGATTTTCTGAATCTTTCGTTTGCAAATGTAAGGAGCTTTATATCAATAGCTTGATTTTTTTTAATACTAAAACATTTACGTACATAAATGAATAGAAAAAGAAAATTTTGTGTGTGTAGCGCACAAACAATCGCAACAGTTACTAAGCAACTGCTTTATGTGAAATTTTGATGATTTTTGTTGTTGCATTCCTCGAGATGATTTGTGAAATTTTGATGATTTTAGTTGTTGCATTCCTCATAATGATTTGTAAAATTTTGATGATTTTAGTTTTTGCATTCCTCATAATGATTTGTGAAATTTTGATGATTTTAGTTGTTGCATTCCTTATGATATGTGAAATTTTGATGATTTTAGTTTTTGCATTCCTCATTATGATTTGTGAAATTTTGATGATCTTAATTGTTGCATTCCTCATGATGATTTGTAAATTTTTGATGATTTTAGTTGTTGCATTCCTCATAAATCTTGGTGTTAATTGTTAACTATATTGCAACAAAAAATTGATTTAACAAACATATTTACAAAACAAATGCAACTAAATAATACATCTCTGGAGCTGCAGTTCAACTTTGAAAGTTTGCCTAACTTTAATAGTTCTGGGCTAGTTTTATGGCCGATTCTATGTAGGGTCCTTCAAGATCACATAAAGGACTTCAAATTCTCGATCATACTCGTATTTGAAGTCCTTTATGTGATCTTGGTTTTGGAACGACCTCTAGATTTGCTCTTAATTACTTGTATCTGAATTGTTTAAATGTTACAAGACGATTAATTGTTTACTAAAAGAGTTCTAAATATCCTTATGCAGTTCATTTGGAGACACGAGTTTAACTTTTTAACTGAAAAAGTTAAACTAGTTTTTATCTGTAAATGTGCTTTATCTGTAAATGTGTTTTTAGAACTTAAAGTAATTTTTATTAGAATACTGAAATATGATGCTGTCCATTTTGACATTAAACATGATAATTAATACACGCACTTAATAACTATTGTTTATTTAGTGCGTGAAGTTATAACTTGTCAATGACAATGTTATCTTAAGGAAATACAACATTAGTTTCAAGAGCATTTTTTTTTTATTTAAGTTGATTAAGGTGTCCCAAGAAGTCCTTGCTTTTATTTTTTTATTTTTTATTTTTTTTTTAAGAGTCTTATCACAGAGCACCGCGGAACCGGTATTATCACAGAGCACCGCATTTTGATAAGAGAAGATTTTCTTTAATTCCTTCTTCTCCTTAAGTGCTAAATAGTTTAAATAAGAATATTTATAATCCCAGCAAAACATTTTTGTAGTGGATTTGCAGTGGACCTGGCATATTGAGCGGTTCATTGGAGTTTTGTTCATCGGTTATTTAGTGGAATATTAGTGGCATTCACTATATGTGACCGGCCAAAACTAATGGTCAACTAAGTAACCGATTAACAAAACTGCAGTGGACCGCTAAAAATACTTATATACGTTCACTTAAAATGCGCAAAAAAAATGTTTACTGGGATCTTTTGGGATTTTGTTTTATGCTTTTTTAACAACTTTTGATTTATATTTGTTTTAGGAAACAAGACTAGCAGGTGAATGAACCATTCAAATATTGACATTGAATTCTGGTAAGTATATTGTAAGAGGTTTATTTTATCTGTTTGTTGTTTCTTTCTTTCATAACATCAGAAAACTATTTGGTATTTTTGTAACAACCAATCAATTTAAAAATCGATATAATAAGTTATTTCTATTAGATATATAAAGATTGAATAGGTTAATAATTTTTATGTTTATAAAGAAAATTTACTACCGGTTTTTGCATTGAATCTGGCGGTTTTTTTCATTTAATCTGGCGGTTTTTTGTATTCAATCTGGCGGTTTTTTGCATTCAATCTGGCGGTTTTAAAATTTATATCAATTTTATAATGCATGTTAATTGCTTAAACTATTAGTAGTAATAAATATTTTACATACTCCAGTTAAAAATAAATTTAGATGTGTAACAAATAATATATATATATATATATATATATATATATATATATATATATATATATATATATATATATATATATATATATATATATATATATATATACACACACATATATATATATATATATATATATATATATATATATATATATATATATATATATATATATATATATATATATATATATATATATATATATGTATATATATATATATATATATATATATATATATATATATATATATATATATATATATATATATATATATATATATATATATATATATATATAAATATCGAAAAAACAAGTTTTAAAAAATTATTACTTTATTTTCTATTAATGTCATCTCCATTAACACATTGTGTGAGAAAAGATTCGCTATCATAAAAATCTGATAATAAATGATGAAACTTAACGTTGTCCATCACCAAGGTAAACTTACAAGATTAATGATCAAATTTCTTACTTCAGCATTAATCTTTGAGCATTGTCTTCGTGCGTTATTCATTTTAAATTTTTAAAAAGAGAAAACGGGCTTAAATTGTACATAAGGAAGTTAAATTAAATAAAGCAATAAAAACTGTTTATCATGATAAAAAAAACCCACCAGATTGAATGCAAAAAACCACCAGATTAAATGAAAAAAACCGCCAGATTCGTGCGAAAATCCACCAGGTTAAATGCAAAAACCGGTATGTCATTAAGATTATTTAAGTGTATATGTCTAGTTGTGCTCAAAACAGTTGTGCAATGCTCACTAGTAATAGTTTAATTTATATAAGTGCAAATAATATCATATCTCAATTATATCATACGTAATATCTCAATAACATGCTTAACTTATCTCAATAATAACATTGCTTAACTTATCTTAATAACAACATGCTTGACAAATTTATATAGTTCAACATAAGAGAACTAAAAGTATTCGAAATTTTTTACTTTAATGTTTTTCAATAGGATATTCCTATAGAAAACATTAAATATTTACAATAAAGTTTTCTATATTATATTAATATAGTTTGTATATAAAGAATAAAAAACCGATAACGACGAAAATTTTCAAAAAACACATGTTACTCTAGTAAAAATAATGCAAATGCGACAAACGTAGTACTTAAGCTGCTACATCAATAACATATAACAAAAAATAATATATAACAAAATAATATATAACAAAAAATACAAATTGATATATATATATATATATATATATATATATATATATATATATATATATATATATATATATATATATATATATATATAACAAAACTATAAAAAATAAACTGTTTATATTTCAATTTATAAAAATTACAAATATTTAAAAATTTATAGTTTCGATTTGTTAGATCAGTCTAAAATAACTAAAATTAACATAAAAATAATGAACTAAATTAATAAAGTTATTATGAAAAACATATAATACATGTAGTCTTTGAGAAATCTCAATCAAAAAATTGGCCCATAAAAAAGTTTATCGAACTTCTTCATAAACACTTTCTTCAAATCCAATGATTTCACAAGACATGCAATTGGGACCATCGCCTGGACCACAAAAACCGTCTGAAGATTCAAGGTCCATCTTTCTGCCACAGTAAAACTTACCAGAATTTCCTTTGACGCATGGAAATCCTTCTTTATTAACATACCAACCTGAAGGAAGTTTGCGTGTACTAATATCTAGTGCCATACAAGAAGTACAATTACACCCATTATCTGGACCGCAATTTCCATCACAGCATTGACATTTTGATGCCAAATCAAGCTTTCCAGAGCAATAATATTTTCCCGTCGCACCAAGCCTAGCTTGTCTACCCTTTGAGTTAATTTTTGTACTAATAAAACTTTTAGAGTTACTGATTTCATTAGAGGAACTTGTAGAGTAGTGCTCTTCCAATATCTTAATGACGGAGTCACTATGAGAGGTTAATAAATGATTCATCAAATTCTTTTTAATGGATTCAAAAGAGCAAGTTGGAATATAGCATTTTTTTATTAAAAACTCACATAACAATTTGTGCCTGTTAAATTCAGATCGAGCTACATCTTTTCCACAACCTTCATTATCACACTTTTTTGGTAAATTACCAATTAGCCGTCTACCGAACAATGTAATCCTGAATGAAAGCGGTACTCTGTTGCATAAAGGACAAGAGTTTACATTTTTCGCACATTTTTCGCAAAATATATGACCACAACATTCAGTTTCAACAGCGTCATCAGCAATATCCAAACAAATGGGGCAAGTTAAGTCAATTTGATTACTATTATCCATACCATTAAGTTATTGCTTGATGGGATTGTG